ACTCTTTCCATGCCTGCAGGAAGCCTACACCATATTAGGTGCCCTGGACCACCTTGCAAGCACAGTAGTAGACCATAAAACTTTTTAAATGGCCCTCCTACTGACACTTCTGTTCAGTGCTTGTGGCATGCATGATGACAACCTGAAACACAAAAGAGAACCCAACAGTCTTCCAGCCTACAAATTGCTTGGTTGCCCCAAGGCAGTTCTTGTTTGCCATATATGATTAGGCGCATAAAAAAGCTTGATTCCTGAGTCAGGAGTCTGATGCTTAAGAGACCAGACTCGGTATACGGTCCTGGGCACAAACTATCATGAACTTATCCTGAGCAAGCCTCGTTCACTTAAATGAGGCATGTGCCTCTCATCTGTACAGAACTGTTAGTGTACCTCAGTGACAACAGGAATAAACAACTGCCCCCACTCTGAGACACTTATATCTAAAAGGAGACAGAAGGAGCAGATGTAACAAGGGAATGTGAGTGTATGCAGTTTTGCAGAACTTAGCTTTGTCTCAGTTGAGGACAAGGACCGACAGGGCTAAGCCAAGAGAAAAGGCGAGGGATGAGAAGGTGGCACCATGAAGCTGTTAAGGGAAGGGTCTTAGGCAGAAGAAGCGACAACAGAAAATGAGTTAGCTTCAAAAAAAGAATGGCACAAAATGATATGGGTCTAAATTATTATCCTGGAGAAGCTATACTGTGTGTGGGGGGGAGACACTATTGCATCAACAATGTTTAGCATAGGGTGTATCGGGTTGTTTCTCCATGGAGTTCACATACTGAAGACACTCTCATTTTATCTTAACCACCATGCAAGACACATTAGGCTGAAAGGTAACGAGGACCACACAAGGTCACCTGACAAGTTTTATTTCTTTCCCACGTGCTCAGCATACAGACTCCTTAAAAAATATATATATTAACCAGCCTCGTACTGTTTAGGAAAGACCTAGCCAGGCACGCCTCCCTGGGAAGGGAGATTCAGAGTCTGTTACTACAGAGAATGTCCAGGACCACCTGGCCATCTTCTTCTCATACTCTGGCAAACAAGGAAACATAAACAAGCTCTGTTCTCACATGGCTCAGCAAGTATTTGAACTCAAGTTTCCCTTCCCATACCCAACAACCTTGCAAGAGACACTATAAAGGAGAGAATGCAGATACAAAGTACCATCCTGAGGCAGTATTTTAATTGTTCACTTGCTTCCAACCATTAATCCAGGAAGTTGTCAGAAAGACCCAAACCTCTATTTCCTTCCTTAATGGAGCACATCTATAAGTAAAGCTCTCCAAATTAAATTGAGTTGAGCATTAGAAGTGCACCTGGGAACATTTACTGCTTCTCATTCAGCTAAGTAACTGGCTTTCACTCAGCTCTGTTATGTCTAGTGGGGGGGAAACAGACATAAACTCCCCCCCCCAAGAATTCATGCAAACTTTTGAAAGCATTCACCTCACAGTGTCCTAGTCCAACAGTTTCTCACTAAACTGAAACCCACAGCATTGTGAAAGAGAAGCACTTTCAGTATCAGAATGCTATAGAGAGCAACTGATGAGAGAAAACTGCAGTTTCTTTAGCTAACCGACCACCAGGACCATGAGACACAAGCTACTATATTTTACAGCATGAGTATGCTGTTGAAGCAGGGATTCAAGGGTTTTTCAAACACGGGGTTCCTGCCCTACAGGGCCAGAGGGCAATACCACCTTTGTAAATATAACATACATGCCTTGCTAGATCAAACCAAGGTCCAGAGAACTCACCATTCTGCTCCCAACAAAGACCTTCTACGTCAGGGGTGTCGAACTCATTTGTTATGAGGGCCAGATCCGACATAAATGAGACCTTGTTGGGCTAGGCCACGTGTGTAATAAAATGTAA